TTTTTCAAATTCACAAAAAAAAACACTAAAGCATTCTTACGTACCTGAACTGGGTCGATCGCTGTAGCGCGTGCAGTACACCCACGCTGGCCACACAATCGGGCCGCTGCCGCTCGCACCTGTGCCACTGGACTTCACAGCGCCGCCGCTGCTACCGCCGCCATTCGACTCTTCCGTCGACGTAGCTGCGCATTTCGCCGCTGCCGCTGAAAAATCACCATTAGGCGCTCCAGCAGCGCCAGGTGACTTAGCATGCTCAGAGGCGGCACCGCCATAGCTGCTGCTCACCGCGGTGCTATTAGAATCGCTGCTGTTTGTGCAGATATTCGCGAGTGTATGCGAAAAGTTCAGCGTAGCCGTCGAAGACGTTGTGGTGGTCGCAGTCGATGAAGCGCTCAAATGCGTTAGGTCAATGGCCATCGCGGAGTTGGTGGCATTAGCGCCAGCACTAGCCGAAGACGCTGCCGCAGCTGCATTCACAGACGATGCTGCAGCCGCTTTCCGTGCACGCAGCAAAGCGCTGGTACTATTACCGCCACCGTAGGTTTTCGTTGCGCGCGAGCTGCTGTTACACGCCGCCATGCAGGCTGCGCCCTCCGCTAGACGCCTGCCAAAGTCAGCTTTCAAAATATTGTCGATGCTAAATTTGAGCGCGGGCTCATTTAGATTGTTGTTGTTGTTGAGGTTGTTGTTGGCATGATTGTTATGAGCGTACGGAAAATGCGCTTGCATTTGCGCCTGTAGTTGGCTCAAGCTTGAAACGGCTGCCGAGGCGGAGGTGGGCGAGAGGTGCGTATGCGCTGTGGTCAAAGCGCTCAGCTTGCTCAGCGCGTCTGCGTTATTGGGAAAATTCGATTTATTTTGTTGCAATTGCGGGTGTTGTGAATGCTCCGCGGGTTGATTATTATTGGCTACCGCTGCTACAGCCACAGCTGCAGCTGCCGCCGCAGCGCTGAGTTGTGACATTTTTGTGATGGCCGTTAGTTGTGATTGTATGCCCGCCAAGTTGGACATTTGTTGTGACGCGCCTTGCACGCGCGCAAAAGCGCGTCTTTCCGCCGCAGCCACGCTCTCCACCGTGCTGGTGCCGCGCAACGTAAAAGCGCTGGCGCGCGCTGCAGCCATAAATTGCATTTGTTGCTTCATCAACTCCTCGGCGTACATGTGTGACTTTCGCATGAATTCCGTTTGAAAGGAAGCAGCGTGTGTAGGCGCTGCGCGGGGCACCATTGGCACCGGCATACGCAATGCGCTGGCCACCACATACGGATCGAGCATAGCGGTACCTGGTTGTAGAGGTGGCGGCGCCGGCTGCGGCTGCAGTGTAAGTCCCGTCCCACTACCCACGCTCTCGTCGTCCAACTGCTGTATTGTATTGTCGTCCGTTGAGGCGCTCGAACGCGCATCACTGCCATCGCCGCCGTACGCTGAAGCGCCGGGCGCATGTACGCTGCTAAAAGCCGACGGCGCGCACAATGCCATCATATTGCCAACATTACTCAGCAAAAGCCGACGTTGTTGGTTGAAATCACAAAAACTGGGCGTCGTGTGGCAGCCACTAGTCGCCGCGCTGCCTCCCTCCTGCCCCACAGACAATTCGCTGTCCTCACTGCACAGACTAAGTGCATCATCGTCCTCTTCCACATCCTCACCCGCCTCTACTTCTACCCCGCCGTGAGGTGTTGTACCAACCAAACGTGTAGCGGTTGCTTTGGCTTCCAATTCGCTTATCGCTTGCGATCTCATATCCCCCTCTTCGTCGTCGTCGTTGTCACCCACCACATCCATTTCATCAGCCGAATCGACCGCTTCGCATATATCTTCTTCCGGATCCTCCGCCGCCGCCGATGCTTCCATCGGCGCGCTGGGTCGTCTGCTTTTTGCAGCTGTTAACGCTGCTGCGCTTGGGCTCAAGCGCGGACTTGTTACGCCATGCGCTTGCAACAGCATGCAATCTGGATGCATATCGACGCGTTGACGACGCAGCGCGTATAACTGCTCGAATAGGGGCGCGTGGCTATGCGAATGCGATGACAATAGGTTGGGCGCTTGCACTGGCGGTGGCGGTGTTGTGGGCGATGCTGGGACTGACGATGTAACAGTAACGACAGACGGCGGTGGCGATGACGATGACCGTGACGATGACAGTGCGTGTTGTGTAAGCGATGCGCGCGTAGTCGCCACCGTTGACATTGAGCTACTTGCGTTGGTCAACGCTGCGAAGGCAGCTGATAACGGCAATGGCAGCTATACACACCAGTTCATGGGCGCACATAAAGCGCTTTTACAGATAAGAACCAGCAGATATACTGTTTATGCAAAAAGCCGTCGGTAAGCTTGCAATGTGGCTTATAAAAGAGGGGCTACGCGGCGCGGCGCTTGCTGCCAAAAGCTTATAAAAGGTCAAGCGCTGCGCTTTCACAAATACAAGTAGCTATATACGCAAACGCACTCATAACGCGCGCGCACGATGGCTACTTTCAGCGACAGCATTTAAATTTTCCTTTCTAAAATACCGCGCGTCGCTGATAAACAAATTTTTCTAGTAAAAACGCGTTGGAAAATTATTCACTTAATGTTCGGTACGCGCTTGCGAAAATCGCGTCGGCAATTCACCAATTTACTAACTTCTAGTTAAAACTCGCAACATGCTTCCTCTCTATCGTTTTCTTTTCACATACACTGTTCACTTCACTGTTTCTTCTTCTTCCTTTTCGTTTATTTTCTTTCTTGGCTTTAACTATTTGCTTTGTCGGTCGAGGCTATAAAATTTCCAAGTAAAAGAGACGCGCGCGCCCGTTCACTAACTCTTCGCACTGCTACTCTGGCCGAACACGTCGTTTAACTGAGACCGGCGCCGTCGCGTATAGCCGCACCACATGCGATCGCACATTAAACGCCTGCCGAGTGCCTCCGCGCGCGCCCTCAATCAATAAAAAATTTCATATTTGCCAGCACATAAGTGGCCCATATAGGCTCAGTCGCTTGCTCTTATGCTCATTGTTGGTAAAATTCAAGTGGTCCGCATCGAGTGCCAAAAGCAACAGCAGCACTACTTTTGCGCGCTCTCACACACACATGCGCGCGCGAACGCTAGTACCACCACCACTCACGCTCTGCTCATCCACGCGGGCCTAAAAGCTCAGTAATAGGCGACGAGGTCCAATGGGAATGGGCGCAGTAGCGGCGTTGTTTTTGGTGTTATTGACTGCTTTGCTACAGCGCTGCGTTTCGCTCCGTGGTTTGACCAGTTTTCAGCTGCGCGCTATTGTGTGAGTGAGCGCGCTCGTGCTGGTTGCGCGAAGCAGCGCGGCAGTTTACAACGCACTAACACTTTTGCGCTTCGTTGTGTGTGGCAAAGTATATAAGCGCGCTATAGGGCAGCTGGGCCGGCGTGTGGTGAGAGGGAGTAGGCAATAGGCGTTGAGAGCGCGCCATGCGTATGAGCGAGTGCAAGGGAGTATACAACGCGCGAACTCCAATTTTCCTATTCGCACTTACGCCGAGGTTCAGAATTGACTGCTGTTGGTGTTTTTTATTCTTGTTCATTGGCTTTTGCGCTCTTTTCATTTTAAATTTATTGACTTTGCTGCTGTTGTTGTTGGCTAGTTATATTTCACGCAATTCATTTTGCTTTTGCTTGTCAGCGTCGCTCTTCTCTTTCGACGCTCTGCTAGTAGTCCTTTAGTATTGTTGCAGCCTTAAAGCCACTGTTTTTGTTGTCCTTTTTGTCTGTTGTTTGTTCCCCATTCATTTCTCTTCTGTTTCTCCAACGCTTCTACCGGCCTTTCATTTATTGTTATTGTTCTTGTTGTTATAGGTACTGCCTTTAGTACTACCACTTTAATTTCTGCGGTTTCGCCATTGTTCTCATTGTTGTTGGTATTGTTGTATGTTTGTATTATTTTCCTTGCTGTCATCAATGTTGTTACCCATATTCCTTTTGTGAACTTTGCTGAAATTACAGTTGTGTGTGTTTTTCTTGTTGTTGTTGTTGCTTAGTGTATTATCAGCGTTGCAACACATCGTCGCTTTTCACATGTGTGTGTATGCATGTGTTCTTGTTATTTTTGTTTCTGCTGTCATTTGAGGTTATGTTAAGTGCTTGTATATTTGTTAATTAAGTGCGGCGTCGACATTTGAGCTCATTTTCGCTGTTGCCGAAGTTACGCAAACCGTTTTGCTGTTATTATTGCTGCACTCGTCCTAGGTTGGTCGATAATTTGACCGTATTTAGACCAGATTTTCAGGCCATTTACGAAATGCACTTTGAGTTAAGAAACATAAAATATAAATAAGGCGATCAAATTTTTTCAAATCCCAGGGAAAACAATATGTTATTTATATTTATTTGGCAACGAGTTATAAAACAATCTTAAATTCAATAAAGCATGGGTATATCTAAAGTGCTAGAACACAATCCTCGATAAAACTGTTAGTTCAGCAATATGTGACCTAATTACATTTCCACTTCTCCAATTTGAAGCACGAATTTATTTAAATAAAAAATACTATATATATTAGGGTGGTCCTTAATAAATCAAATGGAAAAAAATTTCACTCTCACCCTCTCAATCGGTAATAGGTACCACGGTCACAGATATCACATATAAATTTTGGTGTCGATTGGAGTCGGTTAAGACGTGTTTATTCGGTACTCTGAACTTTGACCCCTGTTCCACACGCCTTAACCGTCTCCAATCGGGACGAAAATTTATATGTGGAGAAAAAAAAACTGAATTTAAACTTTGTGAGTCTCCCTAGATAGTAGCAGCGACGGAAATCTGATGTAA